CATAGCTTGCCTTCAGAAGCTTGCCTTCAGAAGTGAACCTTCATTTTTGGCTCCCTCTTACACTCCAAACACATACGTAGGACATTAATTTGTTAGTAAAAAAACTTTTGCATTACACACATATCATACCCTTTCAAATAACTAAAGACACACACAAACACATCAAAATTAGACTGGCAAATAATTCTAGGGAACATTCCTATCTTCCTACTACAAGATTTGAATATATCTTTCCTATCAGTTCATGTATTAATTCTCCACTCAATTCTCATTGTTTCCTTTCAAGATCACTAAAACTGGAGAAGTTTAACTCAGTGAAATTAAAACACTAAACACCGCTTTATAATAGGAAACCACACAAGCCATGTTCATGTACAGATTAGCTGAGTGGGTCAGTAAAAGGTCAAATCCTTTTACTAAGCCACACAAATTAGGAGAAGGTGTGGAGAATGAGGACCCAGACCTCTCTAATATGATGGAAACACACCTAATCCAAGATAAAGGGGAGAGTCTCAAAAAAGAACATACCTCAGCTTCCTGCCCTCAAAATTACTCATTCCCCAAACAATCTATTTCAAACAACCCTTTAAAATGTCTTCAAGTCATCCTATTTCTCCTTTCATCATGTTGGAGGAGGCAGTACATTATAGCAGGTTTTATGTACTATTATTTTACTATTTTTATATATCACTCAAACTCTACAATTAGACTGAACTAGGAATAATTACCAACTCCACCACTAACTAGCTTTGTGACGGGGAGAAAAGTGGGTAGTTAGCACATTGCCTGTCACATAATGAATACATATAAATATCTGCTACTGAAAATTTTAAATGTGCCCAATTCCTCCACGATTATCTTCTGGCCAATTGTTACCCTGCTTATCCCAGATATAATAAGACAACAGCATATTTTTCATTTTCAAAAAACATCTGTTATTTGCTACTACCATGAAGCAAAGGAATGCATAGGACAAATATATATACACACACACACACCCCCCTACATATTCATACATAAGCAGAAATCTCCAACTTTTAAAGCTTTTTAAAGGATCGTAAAAAGTTAATGACCACAAAGAAAACTGTGAATATCTGGACCTGCAAAGTTCAGTGAAAATCTAAAAATAATACCATGATCTGTCTCTGTAGATAATACAAAGCATGAGCTATGTATTCAAATTAATGGCCCCCAAATTACCCTCACTAGCAATATAAGGATAAAGGTGACTATAGGCAATCTGCAGATTTATTTTTGTTTTTTGAGACAAGGTCTTGCTCTGTCATCCAGGCTGAAGTGCTAGTGGCACAATCACAGCTCACTGCTGCCTCAACCTCCCAGGCTCAAGTAATCCTCCCTTCTCAGTCTCCCAAATAGCTGGGACCACAGGCATGAATCACCACACCCAGATAATTTTTATTTATTTTTGTTTGTTTGTTTGAGACGGAGTCTCGCTCTGTCGCCCAGGCTGGAGTGCAGTGGCTGGATCTCAGCTCACTGCAAGCTCCGCCTCCGGGGTTTATGCCATTCTCCTGCCTCAGCCTCCCAAGTAGCTGGGACTACAGGCGCTCACCACCTCGCCCGGCTAGTTTTTTTTTTTGTATTTTTTAGTAGAGACGGGGTTTCACCGTGTTAGCCAGGATGGTCTCGATCTCCTGACCTCCTGATTCGCCTGTCTCAGCCTCCCAAAGTGCTGGGATTACAGGCTTGAGCCGCCACGCCCGGCCCCAGATAATTTTTAAATTTTTTGTAGAGATGGAGTCTCACTATGTTGCCCAGGCTGGTCTTGAAATCCTGCACCTCAAGCAATCCTCCCACCTCAGCCTCCCAGTGTTGGGATTACAGGTGTGAACCACCATTCACGGCCTATACTGACTTGAATTAATTTCACTGTACCATATTTACTTTTCAAAAACTGCATTCCCTATTTGTTTTTATTTTTAAGATTAAATAATCTAACAATTGCATTCCCTATTTTTTTTTAAGATTAAATAATCTAACTTATGGATTATATTGAATGCATTTCCTATTGATGCTACAGGACAAATATCAAGAAAGAGAAACAGCAACCCAAGGGAGTTAAGATTTAATCACGAAACGACAATAATATTTCAGAAAGGAAAAATAATTGCCTTTTTTCCTCTTTGCTCCCATCAATAAGTAATGGAACAAGATAGAAATCAGAATATTTAATTATTTACCCATATTTTATCAATAACTTTTAAAAGTGTCATTAATATTGGTATTAATATTAATTACAATAAAAACTAAATCACTCATGTGCTATACATTAACCAGAAAGAGTATACTGGTTAAAAGTAAGAAGCTCATGAAATGGGCATAGGAAAAAGGGCATATATTACTAAGTGAAAGAAGCCAATCTTTCTCAGGCAAGAAATGATCTGGCAAAAATAAAACCAATCTGAAAAGGCTACATACTGTACGATTGCAACTATATGACATTTTGGAAATGGCAAAACTATGCAGAGGGTAAAAAGATCAGTGGTTGCCAGGGGTTTGCAGGAATGAGGGATGGAAAGGTGAAACAAAGGATGTTTAGGGCAGTGAAACTACTTTGTATAATACTATAGTGGTGAATACATGTCATTATACATTTGTCAAAACCCACAGAAAATGACAGTGGGAAAGGCTGTGGGTATACAGAGACATATGGCAACTCTCTGTACCTTTTTCTAGATTTTACTGTGAATCTAAAACTGTCCTGAAAATGTCTATTTTTTAGAAAAAAGTAAGGGCTCTGAAGTCACAAGGATGTGTTGATGTGCTTGGAAACTATAACTCTACCACTTAAAAAGCTGGATGACTTTGGGCAAGTCCTTTACCTCTCTAAGCCTCAGTCTCTTCCACTATAAAATGGGGTTAATAAATAGTATCCATCTTAAAAGTGCTAAAAAATTAAATGAAATAAAGCAGTTTAAGCAATTACCATGCTCAAATAGAAGGAGAGTTTTAAAATACATATTAGCTATTATTTTTATTAAGCTTCAGACTTCAGAGGTCCTACAACTGTATGAAACTTTAGTTCTAAACTATTATTTTAGCTGGACATTCAATTTAATACAATATTGCTCAGGTAAAGAGAACTAATGAGCAAAGCTTTGTGAAAATTTTTTTTGACCCTTTGTTGATGAATGCTGTTAAAACTATAGGGATCCTGTCTTCATAATTAGCCCATAATGAAAATAAATGACCTTTGTGTTCATGATGTCCCAGTATCATCAATTATGGTTCTCACTGTATTTAATTAACTACATATGGATATACAGAGATACATATTCAATATGAAGGCAGAATAATATACCGCTTAAGGGAATGAAATCTGGATTCAAATCCAGCACTCTCCAGTTTACTAAACTGTATGACTTGGGGTTAGTCAATCTCTCAGTTCCGCAGTTCCCCTCATCTCCAAAATAGATATAATAACTACAACATAGAGTTGTTAAGGATTAAACTAGTTAATAATGGCTTAATAATAAAGTGTTTGGAAACTTGCCAGATACATAACAAGTATCATGTAAGACTTAGGAGAGAATAAAATATGTAGCTTTTTGTTTTCTGTTTGAGGACATTAAAAAAAGGGAAGCCAACTTACCTTTAATTTCTTCCACCAAAAGTTTATCACATATTTGTTTCTCATATGTTTCTATATGTTCCAAAGATTCCTGAAATAGATCTGCCTCTCTCATCACTTGATTCTGGTATAGTATCAGTTCACTATATTCATAATCTATTTTGTTTGGAGGAACCTGAAAAAAAATGACCAAATTACTTTATTTGTATAATTATATAAAAGCAGTTACAGACCTTTAATTAAACTGCCTTCTCAGGAGAGTCATTCGCACAAACAAGAAGGCAACCCACAAGCAGATACAAACAGAAGAGTGATTAACAGCACCAAAAATGAATGCATTATTTAAAACAAATAATGGGGTGGGACTTCTGTCTACCCGCAAGTGATACAGGTCAACAAATCCTAAATACAAATATAAAAATGGTTGAAATACTACAGAATCTACAAAAAAAAAAAAAAAACCTACTAGAATTAATAAAAGTGTTTAGCAAGGTCACAGAATGAAAGATCAATGAAAAATTACAGGTATGCCTTGGAGATACTGTGGGCTTGGTTCCACAATGTCACCACAATGAAGTGAGTGACATAATTTTATGGTTTCCCAGTGCATGTAAGTTCCATTGGCCAGGCACAGTGGTGCACAGCTGTAACCCCAGGTCTTTGGGAGGCTGAGGTGGGTGGATTACCTGAGGTCAGGAATTCAAGACCAACCTGGCCAACATGGTGAAACCGCGTCTCTACTAAAATACAAAATTAGCCTGGCATGGTGTGCATGCCTGTAATCCCAGCTACTCAAGAAGCTGAGGCAGAAGAATCGCTTAAGCCCGGAGGTGGAGGTTGCAGTGAGCTAAGATCTTGCCACTGCATTCCAGCCTGGGCAACAAGAGTGAAACTCGGTCTCAAAAAAAAAAACTAAACTAAAAAAGTTTTATTAACACTATACTATAGTCTATTAAACATGCAGCAGCATTATGTCTCAAAAAACCAACGTTGCCAGGCACAGTGGTACACCCGTAGTCCCAGCGATCCTCCTGCCTCATACCTCAGTCTCTGGAGAAGTCCTAGCTAGGATTTCAAGTCCTAGTCGTAGCCTAAGAGTTCAAGACTGTAGTGCATAGCCACAGCACTTCCGCTCTGGCAACACAGTCAGACCCTTTCTCAAAAAAAAAGTAAAGAAAAGAAAATAGAAATTGGCCAGGCACAGTGGCTCACACCTGTAATCCCAGCACTTTGGGAGGCCGAGACAGGTGGATCACAAGGTCAGGAGTTCAAGATCAGTCTGGCCAACATGATGAAACCCCATCTCTACTAAAAATACAAAAATTAGCCAGGCCCAGTGGCAGAGGCCTGTAATCTCCGCTACTCAGGAGGCTGAGGCAGGCAGGGTAACTGCTTGAACCTGGGAGGTGGAGATTGCACCACTGAACCCTAGCCTGGGCGACAAAGCAAGACTCCGTCTCAAAAAAAAAAAAAAAAGAAAGAAAGAAAGAAAGAAATTGCAAGCACCTAAATTTAACCATCAAAATGTCATAATTTTGTGTTTAAAGGAAAGTTTTTTATCAAGTCCACCAAATGTGATACAGTACTATCTTTCGGTCAGAACTTGATTCTTGGATAAAAACAAAGAACCACTCTAATCAAGAATTCTCTGGTATGAGGTAAAAAGCTAAAAACCTAAGTAAAGATGGCAGCCTTACTACACAGTTTATTTCCTCCCTTAAGAGAGTAAAAATAGCAGATTAAAAAACATAAAAACCCATAAATAGAAGATACTATATAAGATTTCAACAAATTTCTAGAAAACAGAATGCAAAGGAATAAGTGAAACAGGATGGAAGAAGCCCAATTCTAGAGCATCTACAAAGAGGAAATTACTACGGAGAATGCCTATCTGTTCTGGAAAACTCCAGACAGGGTCAAGATTATGAAATGACAGATAAACAGAGGAGTGGAAAAGAGACTCAACGTTGGGGATTAACTCTAAGTGAAGTGACTCAATCCGCACCATCTCCATCAACTTGCAGCTGAATCCACATGTAGAATACTCTCCATTGAAATGTGGAGGCAGGCGTGATGGCTCACGCCTGTAATCCCAGTACTTTGGGAGGCAGGATGATCATTTGAGCCCAGGAGTTCGAGACCAGCCTGGGCAACATAGCAACACTCCGTCTCTCAAAAAAAAAAAAAAAAAAAAAAAAACCAGAGAGAAGAAAAATCCTACATTTTAACTGTTTCCAATTATGTAAAAAAGTTTTCCAGTTTTCCATAGGTCTCAAATACTTCAAGTCACATTTGAGGGCAGGGACAATTAAGAAGTCAACTACTCCATTTGTGAAGGTAGAAGAAAACGTTAAAATTCTTACTTGCTGAGTTTGTCTAAATTCTTCCAACAGTTTTAGGGCCATATCATAATCTTTCAGCAAATGGTATGCAATAGCATATCCAATCCACGAAGCACGCTGTGTGGGGCGCAACTGAAGAAGCTGGTATCTTGTCTCCTAAAAAAATACATTTTAACTTGCTAAACATTCTCATTATTTCATTAAAGAAAACAATCTAACCTTTAACACATTTCTAATGAACTATATCAACAAAGATCAGTTTCAGCATAAAATAAAAGTACTTTTTATGTTTCTTACCTAAATTACTAAAGTTCTAGAATATCCTGTAATAGTCACTGTGAGACTGTCACTGAAACATCTTTGGGGCCCATGCCTTTGGACTCCCTTATTAAATTACCTTTAAATAATGAGTTTTGTTTTTTTTTTGGTAACTAAACATTCTGTAAGAAGACTAAGATGGTTTTTTTTTAAACCACATTTTGCTACTTATAAAACTATTATATGAATTACATGTATTTACAGTGTAAATACATTGTAATAATTGGCCAGACACAGGACAGACACAGCCAGGGGAAACACCCAAACATCTCACTATCCCTTATTTTTACTGTTGCATCTCTGTCATTCCCAAATCCTTTATTAAAGCGTAGGTCAGTATTATTTTCTCTGCCAACTCTTGGCGTTACCCTGGGCAAATGCAAAACTAATGTGTATCACCCATCCCACAATCTATCCTCTAAGTCCCAAGATTTTCTAATCTTTAATGATTTTCTCCTCCACTCCATTCAGAGGCCCACTCCCACAGTCATACCCTATGAGTTACTGCCACCCAGAAATCATAAATTTAGGTATCTCACTCTCTACCTACAGCTCCCATGCTGCCAACACTATCATTTGGTGACATTCCTACCCTTGTTCTTTGACACCACCAGCATCTATACTTCCTGGGTCCTTCACACTTTCACCACCAGCTCTCCTTTTTTTCTTTTAGAGACAGAGTCTCCCTATGTTGCCCAGGCTGGACTAAACTCCTGACCTCAAGCGATCCTCCTACATCAGCCTCTCACGTAGCCAGGATTAAGACATATAATACCAGGCCTAGCTCTCTTTCAACTTAATTTATTTCACAATCCACTTTAACAACCATTGTTTGGCCAATATTCTTAATTTCTATGCCTCATTCCTAAAGATAACTGATTTTAACTCCAACCGCATCTAAGCTGCTAAGCACAGCTGAAGAAAAAAATACACACTTTGAAGAGTGGTGCCATTATTATTACTAAGTTCAGCAGACCCCTTAAAGTGGCTGCAAAAATCTAGGCATGGGGTATGAGGGCTTATATGGCAGTAGAGGGCAAAAGAAGTGTATAAATAATGTATTTAAAGAAAACTGTTAGAACCTAGTGGCCTCCTTCTCATAAGAAAGTAAGAGAATTCCAAGTTGGACATAGTGATTCTACAATACTAAGTGGAATAAGCACATGGAGATGTCCAGGAGAGTTGAAGATGCAAATCTGAAGAGGTCTGAACTACAGAAAGACTGATTTATGGCAACCCTTCTAACATTTTTAAAATATCTACTAACCAATAATTTTTAAAAGCTACTTTTATGTTTAGGTTTCAATTATAAAAGCCCTATTAGTTTACCAAATTTGTAAACATCAAACCTACAAATAATCTAGTATAGCAGCTGCACACACATATTCCAGTTAAACAGCTATGGCCAGGCATAGTGGGTCATGCCTATAATCCCAGCACTTTGGGAGGCTGAGGTGGGAAAATCACTGGAGCCTAGGAGTTCAAGACTAGCCTGGGTAACATAGCAAGACCTTGTCTCTTTTTAAAAAATAATTAATGAATCAAAAATGTTTTAAAAACCAGTTTTGTTTTTGTTTTTTGAGAAAAAGTCTTGCTCTGTTGTCCACGCTGGAGTGCAGTGGCACAACCATGGCTCACTGGAGTCTCAACTCATAGGTTCAAGGGATCCTCCTGCCTCAACCTCCTGGGTAGCTGGGACTGCAGGTGTGAACTACCATGCCCAGCTAATTTTCTTATTTGAAGAGACGGAGTCTGGCCTATGTTGCTAAGGCTGGTTTCTAACTCCTAACCTCAAGCGATCCTCCCACCTCAATCTCCCAAACTGCTGGGATTACAGGCGTGCGCCACTGCACCCCACCAGTTATCCTTTTTTGATACTCAAGTAAAAAGTGCCATCACTATGACTGAGGAGGAAGGTCCCAAGTGACATACACCTTCTAACAAACAATCAAATCTACGTGATCTTGGCTTATGCTCACCTCATTCTGAATTCACATGCTCTTAAATTATATCTACTGTAAAGTCACGTACATTTAAGAATGAAGTACTTACTCGGTAACCTTCAAGGTCTCTCATTTGGATCTGCAACAGTGAGAGATCCCTCAAAATTTGCAGGTTATCTTTATCTAATTTGAGGGCATTTCGGTAACATTTTATAGCTTCATCGTATTTCTTATCAGAACGCTGCAACAGTCCATATACATGCCAACCTATTAAGTTAAGGAAACAAAGACATATACAGACACTAGAATACACTATGCTACATATCTAATATAAAACTTACATTAAGGAAATGGTATTTTGCCTGGAATTTGTTTCAGAATGATCTGGGGTCTGGGAAAGGGGAATAGTGAGGGGAAGTTAAAGAGGAAACCAGATCAGGCTTGGTTGATAATTGTCCAATTGTTGAAGCTGGGTAATGGCCACATGGGGAGGGGGTCATTATTCTGTTCTCTCTGCTTGTGTACATGTTTGAAATTTTCTGTAATATTTTAAGTAACCTTAAAGAATTCTTGGCAAAAATTCTTCACATTTTCTACCCTCTATCCCATCACTTTCCTACCCCAGCAACCTCAACATTCACCTATTCTTCATCATGATGTCTTGAAACAGAATATATACAAAAACTGCAACTACCTTTTGAAACAAATTTACAGTCAACCAATTCTAAAGTAACGTGTAACTATCATCTAATTTCCTAGTTTATATTAAAGGCCACAAAAAATAAGTTTTATTTCTTATAAATTAAAGTCTTAGCATATCTTGGAGTCAAAAGCCCCACAAAACTATCATACTTACATGCCCTTCTCTTCACTCTGGGGTAAGCACTGGGATAAAGAAATAAGTATTTAGTAATTTGAGAAAACCCTAAGCTAAATATGTGAAAACACTACTGAGATTATTTGTGTTCAATACCAGTACGTGGCTAAGTGAATTAATAGTAACAAATTAAAATGCAAGGGCAATATGTGAAAAAAAATGCAGATAAACATATAGATAAGCAAAACAAATGAAAGTCAAATTCAATGATCCATCCTTTAAAAAAAAAATTTCTTTTGGCCAGGCACGGTGGCTCATGCCTGTAATCCCGACACTTTGGAAGGCCGAGGAGGGTGGATCACCTGAGGTCATGAGTTCGAGACCAGTCTGACCAACATGGCGAAACCCCATCTCTACTAAGAATACAAAAAGTAGCTGGGCATGGTGGTGCACACCTGTAGTCCCAGCTACTTGGGAGGCTGAGGTTGGAGAATCGCTTGAACCCAGGAGGCAGAGGTTGCAGTGAGCCAAGATCATGCCACTGCGCTCTAGCCTGGGTAACAAAGACTCCTTCCCCAACCAAAAAAAAATTTTTTTTTTTTTTACACACTGGGATATTGCCCAAAGAAAAACACAATTATAAAGATCAAATTAAGTAACAGCTATGTCTCCGTGTTAACAGAAACCAAGCTGAAGAACCAATATCATACTTAATATTAAGCAAAATCTGTTTTAAAATAAGTTTTTCTTCTAAAATGTCTAGAAGAAAGTTTAAGACACACAAATTTTAACATACGATTAACTAAAAGTCAGTATTTGGAGTAATAGGAAAGTATCATCCAGTTAATTATGTTTAAGAAAAAAATAGGTTTCAAGTCACATACAATTATCAAAGTAACTTTTCTCCAACACTAAGCACAACAGAAGTAAACACATTTTATAAAGATTTCCTCTAAAATACTCCAATAAATAAACACAGGGTAGAGAACAAACGAAACTAATATTGGAGGAGGGGCACAAGCAAAAACGAAACTAATATTACAAAATGTTGATGATGATTATAGTTGAGTAATGGATACACAGAGTTCATTAAATTCTCTCTTCTACGTACATTTGGAATTTTCATAGTACAAATTTAATTTGAATTAAGAAAAAACTAGTTAAAACAAACTATTTAACTACCGCGAAAGGATACAGACATGACTCTTGACATCATTACGAAGTCCTTTACGAACAAATTCATAAGCTTCTTCTTTTTTTCCTAAACAGTTCAGTGTTAATCCTTTCATAGCCAAAGTCTCTGAAAAATAATTTTTAAACTCTATTTACAAATGACAGAAAATGATTATCTTAATAGTACTTTAATAGTTGAGATCTGAAGGATTACTACGGCTCCAATTCATCTTTTTAATCTCACAGTCTGAACTTCCCTCCAAGTAGAAAAAATAAAACTACATTTAAATAGCTACTTAAAGCTTAGCAGCCGAAGTCCTCTGAAATTCCACAGTTTCAAAGTTGCTAAAATGGCTTCTGCCCTTCACAAGACTCTGTAAAAGTGGTTGATATTACTCTGCTGAAAAAATTAACAAAGCAGGCCAGGCGCAATGGCTCACACCTATAATCCCAGCACTTTGGGAGGCTGAGGCGGGTGGATCATCTGAGGTCAGGAGTTCGAGACCGGCCTGGCCAACACAGCAAAACCCCGTCTCTGATAAAAATTAGCCAGGCATGGTGGCACGCGCCCGTAATCCCAGCTACTGGGGAGGCTGAGGCAGGAGAATTGCTTGAACTCAGGAGGCAGAGGTTGCAGTGAGTCAATATTGTGCTACTGTACTCCAGCCTGGGTGACAAGAGTGAGACTCTGTCTAAAAAAAAATTAACAAAGCAGACATGAGTCTTATGGAATTAAATCTACCATCGCAGTCCCACAGCTCTTACCTAAGGTCAATTCTAATCAATCTGATTTACAACCACACAAAAACACTCAATTTACCTTAATAAAGACATACACATAATTTAAACCTCACTTTATTCAATATTGGAACAGACTTCATTTTTGATAGCAAGTTTATTCCAACAAATTCCACTTAGGCTAATTACATCAGTTCACATTTCAAGACCACAACACTGGATGATGGTAGTGGCAACAAAAAATATGTAAGAAAGTTAATAAAAGGTGGTTTAGAATGAAATAATTCTCTGAATTATCCACAAGGGAATTACGCAAGAAGAATGATTTTCAAACTGATTTCCGCAGACTCTATGGTATTCAGAACATGGTGATCCTGTGGTCCAAACCCCTCTCCAACACCTTTTATCTGTTTCACATATTGAACTTTCCCACAGGCTCCATTTGGACAAAGGTTCCACAGCTAAAAAGCTTGAAAACAAGCTTTAAAATTAATTCTATGAAATGAAGATTTCTTTCCAGTTCCTTCAACGAATCTTTTAAATGGTGTTAGAAAAGTGAGCAAGGTCAGCCTATTTTCCCAATAAGATGATCTCAACCATTACCCAAGTCTGACACTGAGTAACCTCAACCAGCATTGCTATGCTACAGGATCGTAACTTTCATGTCTATCCTGATCCATCCTTCTAACACTGGCTATGACTGAAAAAGGATACAACAAGAAAATACAAACTTTATTAACACCAGTGTTAGAAAAACAACCCGAAATATGCAATCTAATGGTAAATTAGTAATATCATATGTAAATGTCAGCACATACTAAAAAAAAAAACACATCTACCAAAGAATAAAGTGCAGGTGACCATATCTTCATACTTTTATATCGCAAATTTTGTCCTAATTTTACACACAGGAAACCAAGGTATAAACTTAAAATTCTATTCAAAGTAATAAAGGAAATCAGGTCCATAAACATACTGATACATACTTTCTCCAATTTTTCCCCAATAGATAAACCAACCATCCTAATCTTATCCTTAAGTACATATACTTAAAGATAATACCGGTAATCTAGAAGACTCATATAAAGCATTAAAAAAATGCTGAACATTTATGCACTCTAATAGAGAATGGCAAGGCCTTGCAATCTGGGAAATACTCTTCTTTCACTGTTAATCCCTGGTTTTAGAATTTGATTTCCCTAAAGCAATCTCTCACATGAGACAATACCTCCATGTTCAGCAAATTTTGGGTTCGACAGAATCATCTTGCAAAACTTGAGGCCATTTTTGTACTGCTTCTGTTCATAACATTTCTGTAAAGAAATATGAACAAAAGTTATTTTATCAAATGAATACACAACGGGTATCATATATTCTTTTCACGGCATCATATATTCTAAATTCAAGATCCAAAATTAGGTCTAAAACGTGATGGAAAGGATATCACTTACAAACATGCAGTGTACTTTTGTTACCTATTCTTGTCAAATGGTTCTAAAATCTACATATTTTCATTTTTATAAAAGACTATGAAAAAAAGACATTTAAAAAACAGGAAATTTGGCCGAGGAAGGTGGCTCACGCCTGTAATCCCAGCACTTTGGGAGGCCAAAGTGGGTGGATCGCTTGAGCGCGGGAGTTCAAGACCAACCTGGCCAACATGGTGAAACCTTGTCTCTACTAAAAATACAAAAATCAGCTGGGCATGGTGGCATGCACCTGTAATCCCAGCTACTCAGGAGGCTGAGGCAGTAGAATTGCTTGCACATGGGAGGCAGAGGTTGCAGTGAGCAGAGATCACACCACTGCACTCTAGCCTGGGCGACACTGCAAGACTCTGTCTCAAAAAAAAAAAAAATTACAAAAATTAGCCAGATGTGGTGGCGCATGCCTGCAATCCCAGCTACTTGGGTGGCTAAGGCAGGAGAATTGCTTGAATTCAGGAGCTGGAGGCTGCAGTGAGCCTAGATCATGCCACTGCACTCCAGCCTGGGCAACTGAGTGAGACCCTGTCTCAAAACAACCAGAAAAAAATGGCAATTCAATCAATACTGCCACAGAAGTTTTTAAATTTTGTTTCCCTTTCCTAGTACACAGAATTTTTGAATTCAAAATAATTCCAATGCTTTGGGAGGCCAAGGCAAGAGGACTGCTTGAGCCCAGGAGTTCAACACCAGCCTGGGGAACAAAGCAAGACCTCATCTCTACAAACAAATTAAAAATTACTCAGGCGTGGTGGTGCACATCTGTGGTCCTACTACTTGGGAGGCTGAGATGGGAGGATCACTTGAGCCCACGAGGTTGAGGCTGCAGTAAGGCATGATTGTGCCACTGCACTTAGCCTGGACAGTAGAGCAAGACACTGTCTCAAAAAAAAACATTTAAGCAAAAACATGTGGCAACAGAAAAATACCAGAAACTGCACTAAAAGCCTCTGCTACTGCAAGAATGAAACCAAAGTGCATGTATAGGTGCATGCACACACAAATACTACCACTTATTGAGCAGCTATTATATGTCTGTATAAAATGTAATCTCTTAATACCAATTATTTAAAGTAGGTGTCATTACTTCCACTTCAGAGATGTGGAAACTGAAACTCCAGAGTTCAAAAACTTGTTTATAAGCGGCTCAGCTGCAAACTCTGGTCTTACTCCAAAGACCATCATTAGTCCAATGCAAGGATAAGCAACATCTTTATTCCTGAACGCCACCAGTCAGTGTACGCAATTAACATCTCTCCCTGGCAGTCACTGATGCGGACAACACCCCATTGCTTTCTACTCTTCCCTGGCTTAAGTTGTTCAGTCACACTGGGTGTTACGTTACTCAACATGCCAAGCTTATCCCCACCTCAGGCCTCCTATACTTGTGTTCCTTACACCTGAAATGCTTTCCTAGATCTTCCCATGGATGGTTCCTCATTATCATCTAAGTCTCACATGTCCCCTACTTGCCCACTTTATCAAATACTCCCATCCTCCTTCCTTCCCCAACATACTCTCTACCATATTACTCTATTTTCCACACAGTGCTATCATTTCCTGAAACCTTATTTTGCTATTATCTAGTGTCTGTCTTCCCCACCATCATATAATGGATCCTTAGAACAATGACCTCACCTATCTTTATTTTTTAGAGACAGTCTCGCTCTGTTGCTCAGGCTATAACCTCAAACTGCGAGCTCAAGTGATCCTCTCACCTCAGCCTCCTGAGTGGGTAGGAAGGACTACAGGTATGTGCCATCACGCCTGGCTAAATTTTTTTTTTTTTTTTCTTGGTAGAGATGAAGTCTCGCTATGTTGTTATGTTGTTCTTTTGTTCCTGGGCTCAAGTGATCCTAGCTCTCACCTCAGCCTCCCAAAATGCTGGGATTACAGGCGTGAGCCACTGCGCCAGCCTCAGCCTATTTTAAGTACTGCTGCACTGCCATGGCTAAACAAATAAGAAACTGCTCCATAAATACAGCCTACTAAGTTCAAAGCAAAATGCCACTAACAATAGATGAGACCGTCATTAAGCCCTGCAGCAGGGGCTGGATGTGGAAGGAATTAGAAAAGTCTTCACAGAAAAAAAGTTTATATTGAGGCCTCTTGACAGCCTCTGGGGAAGGGAACTAGGTGGCTCTGGGATAAGGATAGGATAGAAACCTAAATTTTGAATGATGTGAATATACCACCTATTCCAAAAATATTTTAAAATAAAAAATAACAATCTGAGTTTGACTACAAGAGTCTGTCTCACACATACAAGAAAAAAACAAGTGGAAGGAACTACTGAGAAAGACAAAGAGAAATACTAGTTTTTCTGACTTACCAAGTGATCTGAAAATAATAATCATACTGCCAATAACAGTAATAATAGTTAACACCTACTGGAAGCATTTACTATACGTCCAGACACTGTTCTTATTTTTTTCCTTCATCCCATGACAGCTTATTTACTCTTTATTTAAATCCCAGGAAAGCCTATGAGATGCATGATATCCCCATTTAGATAGAGAAACTGACGCACAGTTACAGAGTTTATATAAAACTATTAAGTGCCAGAGCCACAACTCTTAACCAGGTAGTCTGGTCCCAGAGTCCAAGCACTCAGGTAAAGAAGACAAGTCTACCTGTAATCTCAGCTACTCAGGAGGCTGAGACATGAGAATCGCTTGAATCTGGGAGGCAGAGGTTGCAGTGAGCTGAGATCTTGCCACTGCACTCCAGCCTGAGCGACAGAGCGATACGCTCTTGCAAAACAAAAAAAAAGACAAATCTACATTCACTCAGCAACCATTATATAGTAAATAGAAACGATAGATTCTAGTCTCAATTTTGCCAATACTCAGACAGAGAACCTTAGCCCCTTGGTCATTTGCCATCCTTAGGTTTGTCTCTTCCTAAAACAGGGCATGGAATAGCTCCAAAATTCAACGAACTGCAATGCTAATCAATATCCAGTCTGGGGAATAAGACATACAGATATAAGCCACGTGGAACATGTAAAAAACCAGCTGGTCAGTTTGTGTAGATGTGTTTAAGTTTTTTCAATAGAAAACTTTTACTGTTGGTAGCAAAGCACTTTAACCCACTAAACTTTAAAGATAATTTTATTACAGAGACTTCCGTTTGCTATGGAATTTGTTGTAGCCAAATTTTACCCACATTTATTGCAACTGTGAAATGATAAAATCACCCACTTATGCAGAATCCTCCTAAATTCATGCAGCCTTATCAGAAACATTACATACTTAGATTTAAAAATGTTTAGCTTGGCTGGGCACAGTAGCTCACATCTGTAATCTCGGCAATTTGGGAGGCTGAGGTGGGATGATCACTTGAAGCTAGGAGTTCGACAGTAGCCTGGCCAACAAGAGACTTCCATCTCACAATAATTGATTTTTTTTTAGTGGTTACCATTTCCCAATTTATCTGGGGATAAACTTTACCTTTTTTGTATTTGAGAATAACAAGTAATGTAACGTTTTCCTTATGACACTGATCCATGATTTCAACTACACAAAATTCATATAGAGAGAAAAGAAGTGTTGTCATCTTTAAAGTATGATGCCAAATGTCCTGAAATCCAATTACCGATTTATAAATGATATTCTCATTAATGTTTCAGATTCCCGGGGCAAAAAAAAATTAAAAATAAAAATAAATAAGTTACTTCTCCAATTCCATGCTGTGTAAAATAGAAGGGCATGAGAAAAAGTAAAATTAAAAAATACAAAGCCCAATGAAGCAACCTGCCACATGCTTTAATTACTCATATTTTTAATGTTCTCACACTTGTCTCTTATTGGTTCAAAACTAAGCACCACATAATATTTAAAATTTTTATCCCTAACTATGTATCTTAACATTCTGAAGACTAAGTGTGAAGGTTCTATCGGCTTGAAACAGAACAGCTACTATCAATTATCTGCCGCTGTTAATACTTAACATTACTCTAAAATCAGTATTTTACTTATAGTAAAATTAAGCAACAACTAACAGCCATATAGCCAACCCAGCTTTCAATAAATTCACCTTTAAACCTAAATGCATGTTTAGCAAATAAAAGCTTTTCTTCCAGTGAAAAGATAAACTAGAAAAGACAGTTACCTACTAACAATATTAGTTTAAAACCTAGGGTAGCCAGAGGATACTGAGGAAAGCAAAGGCATGCTGCCTCTTCTTAGAAGAACAGAACCTGGAAAGCCACCAGGGACGCTGGCACACAGCCCACAGAAAACTGCCCACCCGGCTCCGCAGCGGTCATCACTATGGGGCCATTATTCAGGGTTCTGCTCCGCAATAAAATAAAAACGCTCCCCTTAAATGCAAAACCAGCCAGTCCACGCGGCTTTAATTACTCAAGCAAGGCCTGTGCGACTAGAAAGGAAAGAGCTGTGTTGAAGTTGGTGACAACTCAGTAAAGCACTTCAAGTCAACGATTCACTTCCAAAGAGGTACATTATAAACAGGCAAACTTTTTTCTCAACGGGAGGTGGTGCCAAGCTTGGCTTCCTAGAGTTGCCGGTTTTATTTCCTCGTAACCAGGAAAAATTCCACCATCGCATCGATCCCGCTTTAACAGGTATGCGGGTGCGCCGTGCAATCCAATGAAACGCAAAACAGAGAATGCAGGACGCAAAACACCTCACCGAGGGGAGACTGGCAAAATAAACCAACCAGGGAGGATCCCTGAGGGACTGCTGCGAGCCCGGCGTGGCAGAGCGCACGGCAGCCACTACCAGCCGAGGAGGCTGTGCCCAGGCACTGCGGAGGGCGGCGTGAAGTTTCTGGAAAGAGCGCGGCGGGGGTGAGGCGCGCCGCTGCAGACCGAGGAAAAGAAGCGCGCGGAGGAGCGGCGCGGCTGCCCCCGGGGCCGGTCGGAGCGGGAAAGTGGGGTCCCGCGAGCTCCGAGGTAAACAAAGAGCGGTGGGCAGCGGAGGCCAAGCCCGGCCTGCGCCGGCGGCCGCCAGACCGCTTGCCCTTAAGGCCCGAGGACCCGGAGACTGGGGGGCGGCAGTGCGGCCGCCCTTGTGAGTGGTCACTCACCAAGATGCGTTTGAAGAGGTTGCTCTCCTTGGGCGGCAGCAGCACGTTCGGCATCGTGGCCGGCGGGGAGGCTAGGTGCCCGGGCGCTCCGTTTCGCGGGGGTGGGCACCGGGACGAACCGCTGCTGAGAGTCGGTCTGCGGGCGATGGATTAGTTCATTGGCCTACAGTTGCAGTTGGGCAGCCTGTCTGTTCGGCACGGTGGCAATGGAGAAGGAAGGCTGTCTGAGCAAGACACGCTTTCGCCGGGCTCCGCTTTTTGGCCAGCGGCGGCGGCGGTTCCCGCGCGCTGCAAGATGGCAGCCAGGGTCCGCCTCCCGAGCCCGACCCCGTGCGCATGCGCGGAGCGCCCTGCGACGAGGGGCTGCGGGTGACTACGGGGGCGTGGCGGGGACCAACTGCGTGGATTTGCCTTGGGCTGCGGCTCCCCTCGCCGCAATCTCGGCGCCCGCTGGGGCTCTGGCGAGCTGTCACCGAAACCTTGGAGTCCCATGGGGTGGTGAGTCACCACCCTCATTCGCCATTGCTCCTATGCATCAGAGCCCCTCATAAGACTCCTACTTATTGTCTGCTTCTCCTTGCAATAAAGTAATAATAAATAAAAATGAGAATTTTCTTTAAGTAGAAAAGAGAAGACACTGACTTGTATTGCACTCCTGATAAGCTTGTGGCCCAAGATAATGTTAGTTATGACTCTGAAGAGTCAGTTTTTTGCATTTCTCCCCATTTAGGAATTTGAGTGTCCGACACAAAGTAGACTTTTGATGTAAGATGAACTTGTTTTCCTTCCTTTTCCTCCTTGATTCAGACTCGAAGGAGAAGCCTTCTCTTTTCAGTGCAAACCAAACAAATATTTACAATCTTTGTTTTTGTTTGGTTGGTTGGTTGGTTTTGAGAGGGAGTATCGCTCTTGTAGCCCAGGCTGGAGTTCAGTGGCGCTACCTCGACTCACTGCAACCTCTGCCTCCCGGGTTCAAAGATTCTCCTGCCTCAGCTTCCCAAGTGACTGGGATTACAGGCATGCGCCACCGCGCCCGGCTAATTTTGTATTTTTACTAGAGACAGGGTTTCACTATGTTGGCCAGAATGGTCTTGATCTCTTTACATCGTGATCTGCCTGCCTCAACCTGCCAAAGTGCCGGGATTACAGGCGTGAGCCACCACGCCCGGCCGGAATTACGGTTTTATAAGGCCACTGGTCTTCTGAGACCTGAGACCAGAGAAACCTACCCTTTCTCTTCAGATGGTTCCCCTTCCTACAAGCCATATAATAATGGGAGAAACAGGCTTCAAATCCGGGATCTTCCAACTCTGGGGTACTTTCTACAACAAATAAAAGGCAGCATAGTGATGGTAATGTGTGAGTCTGGAAAGATACAAGGGTGGCAAGAATAAACCATACATACAGTGTAGGGTTAGTATTGAAGTGTGTGTAAACATTAGGTACATAAGCTTATTTATACATGTGCTGAATCTTAATGGGTGCATATTTCTGAGACTATAAAGTAATTGATGAGTAACTGCATTTAGTGGGCTGTAATCAGAACTGGGCTGCCCTTTTTTATTTTCTTTCTTTCTTTCTTTTTTTTTTTTTTTTTTTTTTTTTTTGAGACAGTGTTTCCCTCTTGTTGCCCAGGCTGGAATGCAATGACTCCATCTTAGCTCACTGCAACCTCCGCCTCCCAGGTTCAAGCGATTCTCCTGCCTCAGCCTCCCAAGTAGCAGGGATTACAGGCATGCACCATCACCCCCGGCTAATTGTGTATTATTGGTAGACGCAGTTTCTCCATGTTGGTCAGGCTGGTCTCAATCTCCCGACCTCAGGTGATCTGCCCACCTCGGCCTTCCAAAGTGCTGGAATTACAGGCGTGAGCCACTATGCCTGCCTATTTGATTTTCCTTCTTTCTAGCCTAAGTTGGTTGGAGATGAAAGAAAGAATCATAGGAGTCTTTTTTTTTCTTTCAATCTCCTACGTTTCACACAGGATCATAGGAGTTTTTTAAAATAGGGAAAGTACTGTCATTAAAATTGGGGGTCCACAGCAATTCCATTGCTGGGTATATACCCAAAGGAATGTAAATCGTTCTACCATAAAGACACATGCACAGATGGCCAGGCTAAGTGACTCTCCTGTAATCCCAGCACTTAGGGAGGCTGAGGCGGGTGGATCACCCTGAGCTCAGGAGTTGGAGACCAGCCGGGGCAACATGACAAACACACACACACACACACACACACATACCACTAGCTGGGCATGGTGGCGAGTGCCTGTAGTCCCAATTACTTGGGATGCTGAGGTGGTAGGATCAATTGGGCCTGGGAGTCAGGTTGCAGTGAGCCAAGATCATGCCACTGCACTCCAGCCTGGGCAACAGAGTGAGACCCCTGCCTCAAAAAAAAAAAAGACTCATGTACGTGTATGTTCATCGCAGCACTATTCACAATAACAAAGACATGGAAGTAACCTAGATGCCCATCAGTGGTGGACTGGATAAAGAAAATGTGGTACATATACACCATGGAATACTACACAGCCACAAAAAAGAGCGAGACCATGTCCTTTGCAGCAACACAGATAGAGCTGGAGGCCATTATCCAAAATGAATTAATGCAGGAACAGAAAATCAAATACCACATGTTTTCACTTACAGGTGGAATTATAAACACTGAGTACCCATGGACACAAAGAAGGGAACAATAGACACTGAGGCCTACTTGAGGGTGGAGAGTAGGAAGAGGGCAAAGATTAAAAAACTGCCTATAGGGTATTATGCTGATTACCTGGGTGACAAGACTATCTGCACACCAAACCCCCACAGCATGCAATTTACCCCTGTAACAAACCTGCACATGTACCCCTTGAGCCTAAAATAAAAAATTGAAAGAAAAAAATAAAATAGAAGTGGGGGTCCAAGGGCCTATGTGTACTCTGCAGAGCTCCCAAGCTGCCCAAACTGTTAGGAAGTAGGCAAGTATAGCTGCTTTGGGAGCTTGCCTGAGGTGCACCTGAACTAGTGGCAGTCCCCCACCCAGAGAACTGAGCAGGCACACAGAAATGCCTCCTCTCAGCACCCTCATACGCAACAACCACCGCCACAATTCTACCCACAGTTTGCTTACCACAACATTACTAATTCCTGAAAACCCTTTGGCTCCCAATGTATCTATATTGTCATTTATCTACATCATCGGAAGTAAAGGGTTACTCATGGGAAGAGCCAAACCTTCAGTGCTTCAGTCAAGCCCTCACTTGACCCTCATAGGACATCGACTTTTCTAGACCTATTTCAAAATGACAAATTAGATTTTTTAAAGAAATATACAAGAGAAGGGAAGAAAAGCATAGTACCAACTGTAAATATTTTGAAGACAAGGAACGTTTGTCTTTTATGAAAGTTTCCTGTGGGCCTCTTCCAGCCTTATTTACTACAAATCATTAACTATCTTCACTCTCTGCGGTAACAGCTAAATCGTCATCCTCATTCACCATTGCTCTCCCCAACCTCTAAATCAGCAGCCCAGGAAGGTTCTTCATGAGCACTCTGCAGCGCCTACCCACTGCCAACTTTCCCTTCCCATGACACACAGCTCTGTGCCAGCATCTCCCAGGGAAGCACAGTCACGCAAAGAAAATCTGCTATCCCAAATACTAGAAAGCAGCACTAGTTTGCTACTAGTCATAAACTATAGTTATATATAGTTATAAATACTCATATTTAATATTTTCTTCATCTGTCTTTCACATACCATACACACATGCCTTTTGTATTAGTCTGTTCTCACATTGCTATAAAAAAATTACCTGAGACTGGGTAATTTATAAAGAAAATAAGTTTAATTGACTCACAGTTCTACAGGCTATACAGGAAGCATGACTGAGGAGGCCTCAGGAAACTTACAATCATGGTGGAATGCAAACGGGAAGCAGGCACGTTCTACATGGCTGGAGCAGGAGGAAGAGGGTAAAGGAGGAGATGCACACTTTTTTTTTTTTCTTTTTTGAGATGGAACCTCACTCTGTCACCCAGGCTGTAGTGCAGTGGCATGATCTCAGTCACTGCAACCTCCACCTCCTGGGTTCAAGCAATCCTCCTGCCTCAGCCTCCTGAGTAGCTGAGACTATAGGCATGCACCACCACACCCAGCTAATTTTTGTATTTTTAGTAGAGACGGGGTTTCACCATGTTGGCCAGGCTGGTCTTGAACTCCTGACCTCGTGATCCACCTGCCTCAACCTCCCAAAGTGCTGGGATTACAAGCATGAGTCACCATGCCCAGCGGTGCTACACACTTTTAAACAATCAGATCGTAAGAACTCATTATCATGAGAACAGCAAGGGGAAAATCTGTCCCCATGATCCAGTCACCTCCTACCAGGCCCCTCCTTCAACACTGGGGGTTACAATTCAACATGAGATTGGGGTGGAGGGGGCACGAATCCAAACCATATCACCTTGGTTTGGGGGTAAGCGGAGAGGGAGGGAATAGAAAAGAACACCAATCATGCTGCTGGTAGTTGTCATCCTGAACCTTATGTGTTTAAAAGATGTAATGTATGCACAATCAGAAAGCCTAGATTAACCAGTAACTTTAATCTTATTACTGACTTCCTGTTTAGTCTGGAACAAATCTTATTTCTATCTTTCAACAGAAAATGGGGTTATAATAACATTATTATAATGTGTTTCACAGCAGGGTTATGTGAATTTAATGCTTAGTCATTTCAAAGCCTGTGATAAAAAACAAATACAGTGTAAATCTGAACTCACTGTCTCTGAGGAAAAATGCTGAAGTCCCTTTGGAGCCATCATGGACATCCACCCAGATGCTCCTTCCTGGCGCTTCAGACGGTGCATACCTCCTTTAGAATCATGCACAAAGTAAAATAACAGTAACCACATCTGTAAAGACCTTTGCAGTTCCCAAAGCCCATTTTACATATATAATATGGCCACTGATTCTTCTTATTCAGCCTAGTAAAGACAAGGAAAAAAGAATCTGGAAAAGGATTTTCTCCACCCCATACACATGCATGTCTTCCAGAGCCAGCTGGCAACCTAAAATCAAATAGTTTGCTGCTGTTCCCACAGCCAATTTAACTATGTAATTAAAGGCTGATGGGAAAATACTTGTCAGGTTACACAACGTGTTCTACCTCAGACTCCCCGATGTTTCTGCTCTCGTCCATGTTCTTGGCTCTTCTTTCTGAGAAAGAAAGGTACTCTCATTCCTCCCTTTGAGTTCTTCATCTCATCCCTTTTTTCTTTTCCTCAAATTTTATTCATCAGTTACTCTCCTCCCAGTTTGCATGTTCTCTCTCTTTACATAGTTTATATCCTAGTGGGAGGAGAC